GTGTATATATATATATATATATATATATATATATATGTGTATGTATTTTTTACTCTAATAAATTTTTCATACCAAATATTACAATTACTGGAAGTAGTTGTTACATCATATGTCGTCATATATTACTATATTAATAGTGTCAATGCTGAGCCAGTAGTAACACTACCTTCCTAGATTTTGTGCTCATTTATGATAAGAGATAGCTAATAGGTTATCAGCATTTATAATAAGAGACATTATTCCCTGAAATTTCTCAATACAAAAGTGACGTAATAAAATTATTAAGGACTCTGATTGGTTGATTTTCTTATGCCTCGTGTTTTATGAATTATGTAAAAATCTGTGTTCTCCGCTTTAGAATCTTTTCTTTTCTCTCATGGAAAAACAGAATTTCGATTCGTTGATTTCCTTATGCACTATATTATGCGTTATGCAAAAGTCTATGCTACTACTAATAATGTATTTTTATTATGCATTTAAATAGAGTGGATGAAAAATGTCGGATCAATCGCAAATCGGGGAAAAGGTCGCCAGACTCTGATGAGAGTCTCTATAGTCAGCATAGGCTATAGATTTTCAACAATGACGCAATGATCGATATTCATAGACAGTTCTTATATTCAAGATCGTCTTAAGTTTAGTCTTAAGATGTCACGAACCAATCAAAGGTTAACCACATTAGCGTCTTAAGACATTACTTAAGACAGTCTTGAAATAAGAATAGACTATAGCTGCGTTTCGTTTCGTGCATGATACGCATCATTTATCTTTGTTTAACATGTGAAAAACAAGGATAGAATAATGCAACTGCTCATCATGCATGAAACGCAGTCTTGAATACCGGCTAATAAATATTTTCATTCGGAAGTCTGTTTTCTGTGGCTGAATCAGTGTACACTTTTAGAACTTAAAATGAGATAGATATACATTTTGTAGTGGATTGCTACATATAATAAATGTAGGTATTGAAGAAAATTTAGATTCGTAAATAACAAATGTTCGTTTATTTATTATCACATACAATATCTTCTTGCGACAGTGTAACTCGATTCATATAAACGAACCATTAAAGAACGAAGAAGAAAAAATATCTAGATAGGAAATTCAGCATGATGTTCGTGAGAGGGCGCCATCTGGTCATGGAGTGTATGAATCTTAAGCAACTATAAAAGTATGGGTAAAGTATAACTGAAAGAGTATGAGAGAGAGAGAGAGAGAGAGAGAGAGAGAGAGAGAGAGAGAGAGAGAGTGTGTGTGTGTGAATGGTGTGTGGGACGTGTCTCCACAGTTTCATATTTATCGAAAGTGAGAAAGAGAGATCTAATACAGTGCAGAAAACCAAATAGATCACGGAACACACCTAAAATATGTGAGATCGGCAGACCAACTAGAGGTTGATAGAAGAAAAAAAAACTGTGTTTCATCAACCATGTACCTACATACCAGAATATATGAACAATTTTATAGTTATTTTCATTCTTCACCGAATGTAATCGGCTAAAAATGGAAATGTATAACTGAATGGAAATCAATATTGATTCGATAAAGACTGAAATGAGTTCTATTCCAGAAATGAGAAACGATGATACACATTACGATACGACAAATTTTTACATCGGTTTAGGACTAGCAATTGCTTCTAGTGTTTTTATAGGTTAGTAATGTGATATATTAGTTTAGTCAGAATTTTTTATCAAAAATCAATATTTTATACTTAATCTGGACCAGTAGTAGTATTATTTTATCTTGTCGAAAAAAAGCCAAAAATTTTAAAAATATGTACAAAAAATTAGTTATTTCTTTGTCATTTTAATTTAGGTGCCAGTTTCATCATAAAAAAGAAGGCTTTAATCCAACTCCAAAAGTACGGTGGACTGCGTGCATCGTCTGGTGGTTTCGGCTATTTAAAAGAATGGATGTGGTGGGCTGGTCTTTTATCTAGTACGTAAATTTCAAAAGACGTTCTAGATGCAATTTTTTTATGCCATTCATGTAAAAACATTCCAAATAAATGTTACAGTGGGTATAGGAGAAGCAGCAAACTTTGTTGCATATGCATTTGCACCAGCGTCGCTTGTAACACCATTGGGTGCTTTAAGCGTTCTGATATCAGCAGTATTGGCATCCAGATATCTTAATGAAAAATTAAATCTTTTGGGAAAGGTGAGAAATACTTGTACAGGCAGAAACATTAATGTTGAAAATAATAGATATACCTATTCTCTATATACAAATACTGTATTTTTATTGTTTTTTTTTCTTTTTTAGATGGGTTGCTTGTTATGTATTTTAGGTTCCACAGTAATAATATTACATTCACCGAAAGAAGAGGAGATTAGCAATCTAAGCGAACTGATTATTAAAATAAGAGAACCAGGTTATATGTTATATGTTTTAATCGTAATAATGTCTACCTTGTCCATCATCTTCCACTTTGGTCCAGCGTATGGCAAACAAAATATCTTGGTATATATTTGTTTGTGCTCATCTGTTGGCTCTTTGACCGTCATGAGTTGCAAAGGCTTGGGTTTGGCGTTAAAAGAAACCATCTCTGGTGGAAAAAACGCATTTGCCAATTGGTTGACATGGGTCTTTATATTTAGCGTTATCCTCTGTATCATGATACAGATGAATTATCTGAATAAATCACTGGACTTGTTCGACACATCTATTGTGACGCCAGTTTATTACGTCTTCTTTACAACTCTAGTGATAATAGCATCTGCAATTTTATTCAGAGAATGGACAAAGATGAGCATAGAAAATATCCTAGGTGCTTCTTGTGGCTTTCTCGTAGTTATAATTGCCATATTCTTATTAAATGCTTTTAAAGAAATGGATATACATTATGGCAATGTCAGGCATATGTTGAGGCCCAAAAGAGAAATGTTATCGAGTTATAATTCAAGATGGGACGATCAAGGGGGAGTGAATACTAGAGTGGAAGCTCAGCATTTGCTTAATCACACTTATGTAAATTCAGATCTCACTAGGACTGTCTAAAAATTATATCTATGGAAACGCATGTAACCTGCTCCATTTAAAAAATTTGTATAGCAAAAGAAGCAGATTTAAGAAAAGAATTTATTGTTTATTGATTATTTATTGTAATATTCACAACTAATTACATAATTGTAAATACGCTTTGTATTATTGCTGACGAAAGCAATAAAATACATATTTTGAGCATATCTCAAAATCTACATATAGTATACGATATCCCTATCTATTTTTAAATAAAAAAAGATAATTTGTAAATTGAGAAATCTGTTCTTTTTGTAAAAAACAGATTTCCAGTACATAAAATGTTGTCATGCTGCCAACAGTTGCTAGATTTGAGTAAGAATTAAAAGATCATATTTCACCGCAGTTGAAAAATCAAGAAGCAGAAATCTAACGGAATCTCTTAATAAAATGTGTCATTTAATTAATCAAATGATTCATTTCATGTAAATATTTGGAAAATAATGTATAACTTGTGTTGGCGATTTTCGCCGTCAATCTGCTATCATATGTTATTGGCAAAATTTTATATTTCTACAAACATTTTACCAGTAAATTAAAATTTGTAACATAGCTATATCACGAGATAAGTTTTAAAAGTGACTGCTTGGAATCACTGATGATTAAATCCATGTAAGACAATAAGACAGATGTAAGGAAAAAACGAGCTAGCATTATGAAATCTAATCTATATAGTTCGAAATGTCGATTCAAATGATTGATCGATAACGACAGAATGCAAATAAAAAGTTGTAGTGTAAATATTTTTATTTTCGAATTTTCGTATAGATAATGCGAGCTTATCACGTGATCCACTTGATATCCGGACTTGTCGCAATTCGTTCGTTGGTGCCGTTGGTGGCTTTCGTGGGCTTTTGTCCATACGTGCAGAATGGCATTCAACCTAGCCGCTTTTTCATATATTGTGGCGTTAATCGGCGACGCGTTTCTAATATTTTTCGCGATATTTCACGTATGTCTCCCATAGGAAATGTTCGCGCGGTAATTCACGACAGTGAATCCGCGAGCAATATATACATATATATATATATATATATA